CCCCTAAGGGTAAAGGGGGACTGTAGATTAGGACACCAAAGTCAGAGCTGAGGATCTCCCCAGATGCAACCCCAAAAGTCCTTTTCTTTTGGCTGAACCACCACCTGGATGTAGCTTCTGGTAGTCACTGGATTGGTCTAAGCTGTTCAGGTCTCTTAAGGGAGATTCTCAAAAAGCAGGGACATCTGGATAGAATAAATTCATTGACTCAACTCAGAATTCTCCATAGAGTTTCAGCCCATAAAGTCTGATATCTTGGTCTGATCTGTTTGGCTTTGGATACAGACTGAATGGAACATAGCTGTGATGATTCTAACTTACCTGACTATGTATGATTCTTTTCCTCTACTATCAACATATCTGTGCAGGCCTGTTTGCTTCTATTTGAGCCTACAGTTGGCACAACCCTACCCCCTCATTGCATCTGTGCTACAGTCTTGAAGGTCTTATCTTTAAGGTCCAATCCTGTGTCATTATGTTGAGTAGTAAACTTCACCATCTTTTTAGCCACATCTATCTACTCAGTCTCCTTTATTGCACATTCACTGCCTCCATACGTGTGACTGTGCCCATCTCCATTCCTACCTCCCTCACCAACTCCTCAAACACACAAACCAAGCAACCTCCTCCTGTGTGACTTCCTCCGCTAACTAGACAGTAGACTCCATCACTACAGTCTTTGTAGTGTGCTCCCTACCACTAATACTGCCCCTACCTTGCCTCCAGTCCATTGTTCCCCACCCCTGTAAACCACACCTAATGCTCCTAGAATAAAACCCTTTCTCTACATTCCATCTGGCTACTCCTCGATTTCATCTTATTTATCCAAACTCTGGCATTCACTAACACCACATTCTCCCAGAAGGTAAAATTATAAGCGTCTTCCACTGTGTGCTTTACCAAAGCCCATTATTGACAGAGCCCTATCCATCTACTCCTCTTCCTTCTCCATTTCTCAGGTGTAATCTTAGCTGCCCACTGACTCATATCACTCTTAAGGAGAATGTCTTACAGTCCTCTGTATTTCATGATACCCAAGAGAGGGGTGCACACATTGTATATGTTCAATAATATTAAATTAATGATGAATTATTAAACAAAAAAAGGTTGGCATTCCCAGAAAATCATTGTTCCCACCTCTGCTTGCAGAAATTATCAAGAAATGCACTAGCTTGCAAAAGAATACCTTCTAGACCTTTCCAAATTCCCTACTGGCCCCTATAAGATATGTCTGATAGCTGAAAGTAAACTAGTCTTTGCAAGCACTAAATTGCTCATCAGTCTTGCAAAGGATGTCATTTAGTCAATGACCTTCCCTAAGGAAATATAAGTGGAACATAGCTGCCTGAGAAAAATTAATTCACCCAACTCCAGTAAGTAGCTAACAGAGAACAGCTTTCATCATCCTAGGAGATCTGAACCATATTTCATTCTAGGTTTTCTTCCCTTTTGGGGAGTGGGTGGATGGAGGATTTGAATTATACCTGGCTAGTGCAGTTAGGTTTTTAAAGAGTTGTAGCCCAATGCTAAGTAGGCATGATGTCACCCAAAGTTTTAATTATGAGAGAACAAAAATGTAGTACAATTCCTTGTATCTGAAAATATAAATATTACTTCCACATCCTAGCAAACTCCCCTAACTCTCCACGTACAGGTATAGATGGCAGGAGATGGAGATAATGCCCAGCTTGTAAATGTACAGTAGACACAGGGACCAGCAACAGCTGGCAGGGGGTCCAAACTCCAGTGCCTTCAGGAGCCAAGCAGGTAGTATGAACAGTTAAGCAAACTTTATAAGAAAATCAGTAGAGTTAGGGGGAATGATGAAAGGAAGCTACTTTCAAGGTCAATGTGCCCACTACTGCATCCAGGAAATCCCTGCCATACAAGAATGTGGGACCAAGTTGTTCAGAACGTGGCAGAAACCCAGATTTTTTAGGTCAAGTCATCGAATATTGGCAAGTTATTCAAATTAGAGAGAAGAAAAGAAAAACAAACAAGCAAATAAAAACAACCCTGTTCCAATCAAGTACAACATGAAAGGTTGCTAATTTGTCATCTTTGGAAGACAGACTAAGGTTGGACTGGTATAAAAAAATTATAAAAATATATTCCTAAAACGAAATCCCTATTTCACACCCACTTTTAGTAACTGGATTTCTGTGTTAATCATCTGTGCTGAATACTTACATTAATAATCATAACGCAGATTAAAAGCACAAATAAAAAATTAGAATATAGATATCTAGATATCTAGATAGATATCTAGATATCTAGATATCTGTGGACAAAAAAGGGGCCACATACTAAACCTGACACACACAGGGGAGGCCAGTATGGTCAGACACCTAAAGTAACCATATAGGATGGTCTGAACATAAAATTCGTGAGTCATGTCGCATAGTCATGGTGGATAGTCACGTCTTAGGCCTGCAGCTTCCTGGACAAAGGTCAACCTTTACCTTAAGTGAGCCTGTCTATTGTCTTTTTGCATCTAAGATAACATACCTTTGAACTGTCAGAGTAATCTTTCTCCAGACTCCTCAGGGCACAACCACACTGAGTAAAGACCACAGAACCCTCATTGTTTCCCACATAAATCTAAATGCTGTAAATGTTAATTAGTAACTATCCTGTACTCCCAACGTAAAAAAAGTATGTGTAGCTGTTTTACTTTCTATCTCAGAGATTTCCCGCTTTGCTTTCTCCCACCTCCTTAATCTATCACCGATGGATTTCAAATAACCCTCCTTACAGCTCTTCCTTTGATTCTGATGTACAAAATACACTGCAAAACTGCCATTCTCCACTGCATTTTCTTAATCCATTGAGATTAAGAAAATGCAGAAAGTGTCATAAATTTGGCTCAAATAAACTTATAAAAATGTCTTCAAAAATTTCTTACATCAACATATCAAATTTTTGGTTAAGAGATGACTCTAGGCACACTATAATTTTAAAAATCACAGGAAATTTTAAAAAATATATGGGGAAAAAACTTGTGACCAAAACTAAATGCAATAAAATCTGAAAATATCTGAAGCCAATATGGCAAGGGGTTAATTGTCTTTTTAAAAAATATATATTTTTACTGATTTCAGAAAGGAAGAAAGAGGGAGAAAGAGATTGAAACATCAGTGATGAGAGAGAATCATTGATTGGCTGCCTCCTGCACGCCCCCCACTGGGGATGTAGGCCACAACCTGGGCATGTGCCCTTGAATAGAATCAAACCCGGGACCCTTCAATTCACAGGCTGATGCTCTATCCACTGAGCCAAACCAGCTAGGGCGATATAGATATTATTTTTAAATGTGACTAAAAAAAGAATCTTTGCAATGGGAAAAAACATTTAAAAAAATAATGTTAAATAATCGGTATTGGGATATAAAATTGGTGGAGTTTGAAAGAAGCTAAATTGCTCTGAATTAGAAAAGGGTGAGATATAAAGAAGCCTAAGGGAAAAATAATCTACAGAAATTGCCTATAATAGGGGGGATTTTAGAAACTGAGCTGGATAAGAGCAAGCAAAGAAAAATTCAGTGGCTAAACGTAGTGATTTGGGGTGAACTGAGCAGAGCTGTCTAATGGCAACACAGGTGAAGCATGCGATCAACTGTATAAGGCAGTCCCATGATATCTTCTGTAAAATCCACATATTGCTTTTTTTAGTTTGTTTTTTAAAACGAGAGTGGGAATAGAAGGGGCCATGAAGTACATAGTTCTATTTAAAGGCTGGCCTAAAGTAATTACAGAGAAGACGTGGAAAACTAGCCAAAATCTGTATTCCACAAGAAGGATTTGAATTTGCCTTTTACAATGACCCTAAACAGAAAGGTTTGGTCCTCATCAGAACGTCAGTGGAAGACAACTCTGAAAACATGAAAGAAATTCTGAAACAAACAAACAAACAAAATATTCCTTACAATCGATTTGAAATATTTTAGAGCATAAAATTCAAATGACATGCTAGGTATCTTCTGTCTAAGATAGTTAAAATCTTTGGAAGTAAAATGATGACTTCTTTGAAGATTTCTAGTGAGAATTCGGAAATACAATTGTGTCTCTTGAACATTTTTTAAAGTGCTTTAATAAGCTGCAGTATTAAGATCCTTTCAGGGCATATCTTTCCATAGTTTTTTGTTGTTGTTTTTTCAAGCTGAAGTGTAGAGAAATTATCTTGGTTGAAGACCTTGAAATATTTAGAATCATGTATTTATCTTCTTTGAGTATTCTCATGTGAGGTTGTCTTGACGTCCACGATTTTATAAGAATCGTGCCTGGTTTGAAGTAGTAAATTTGGATCACAACAGATCAGCCTCCTTTGAAATACACTCACGTTGCAGACAATGGGGGAAGTCTTGTTCCAGTTTTCTAAGAATCTCCCTTTAGTGTGCACATTTTCCACACGGAAACATGAGTGTGTATGAGCCTATCTCATCACATGCCTTCTCCCTGAGAGATGCTAGAGCATTTATGTATGAGTATCTGTTTCCCCTCAAAACCTGTTTCCTTTAGGGAAGAAATCAAAGGATGAGTTTTCAGTCTTTGCAGGGCACCTACAAAGGCTTTCTAAAGTGAACCTTTATGTGCTGAAACATTCTATTCCTAATTAAAAGCAGCAAACATGAAAATGCCTAGTGTAGAATGGTGTGGTCATATAAGCCTTCACTGGAGAAAATACTTTCTTCTTATTCATGAAATAAAATCAAACTGAAGTATACTTTAAATCGACATTTTAAGACTGCATTATAATTATATTTAAGGCAAAAAAGGAGAAAAACTATGTATACTAAAATCTTGACTGATACATACAAATATCAAATATGTTCAACAAAATTTTCAATGTAGTATTTCCAAACCACGTATTTAGAAAAATATGTCCTTGAGAAAAACATATACAATTAGTCCTAAATATTTTCCAAAATAAGGCTAAAGAAATCAAAAGTAAAAATGCTAAAGAAGTGAAAATTAAGTAAATACTTTTCAAAGGGCACTCACCAATCACAATGGAAGACTCACAGTGATAATAACCATTACTTTGCTTTTTCTTCAGCATGGAGCAAAGATCAATGCGGTGTAGCATTTCTTCTCCAAATCTGTGACTGATAAATTTTTCATAGAATTTGGGGTCTATTTTTTTCACTCCCTTGAAATGACAAAACAAAATCACATCAATCAATCATTTCAGTCAGGTAGCCAGTGTGAACATATTTATATCACTTTCTTAGAATCTGACATTACATTTCGGTACACAGTACTAGCTTCAAGAATTTGAAAATGGATATCACAAAATTGTTGGAAAGCTGTTTTTAAAGTCTCCTTGTCTAGGATGAGCTATATAAAAAAAATCATTAAAGAGTGTTATGTTTAAATCTGGCAACATTCAAAACTTCATATACGTTAAGCTTCAGAAATAATAAAGTATATCAAGTTGAAATTTGAGATATGAAGAGTAATTATCTCCAACAACAATGAAGAAATGAATTTTGAAAAGTGATATGGACCATAACATTTTATAGTGTACAACAGTTTTAATAAGATGGATGCACTTTTTAAACTCCTTATGTAAGAATCATATCAAAGACCATTTAAGTTTATTTGAGTTGGGGGAGGGCATCAGTTTGAAGCACTTCCAAGTTCTCTACCTGACCCTCCTTATTCTTAGTGGCTTTCATAGCAGAAAGAGGGCTGTTGAAAAATTATAGTGCGGTGCCCTTGATACCTCTGTAGTTTCCCCAGACAGATACTCTTCCCCTTACTATACAAATGGTCCTGCACCATCTCAGTCCAAAACACAGTCTGTAAGATGAAGGTACAATACTATACAGGGCACGTTTACTGGCTGATCACGTATGAACTTTTCCTTTTCATTTATAATTTTTAAAATATTACCTTGGCAATATTTGTCAAGGGTTAAAAATTAGAAAATATGAAGAAACTAGAAAGAAAGAAGGAAAAATCATTCACAACCATATTTATATAAAACTAGAGGCCTGGTGCACAAATTCATGCACATTGAAAGGAAATTAATTAGAAGGTGGCCGACGGGGCAGGACTAGGTGAGATGGGCTGGACACACCCTGGAGCCACCTCCTGTGATCCCTCACCGGCAGGCTGCACAGAAGGGTGTCTATGGAATGAGCGGTGGGGGGATCCCTCTGGCAGGTGGGGTCCCTCGGCCTGGCCTACGGGGATCGGGTCAAAATTGGCAGTCCATCATCCCCTGGGGGGTCCCGGAGTGGGAGAGGGCATTCTGTAAAGTTGCTGTCGCTCAGCAGCTCCTGCGTTGAGCATCTGCCCTCTGGTGGTCATTGCGCATCATAGCTACTGGCCAGTCAGCCAGTCAGCTGGTCGCTTAGGCTTTTATATATACAGATACATTATTAACACTGGAGTGTATATCCTTCAAGCCTTTTCTATACATATATATTGTTTTCAGAATATATTTATACAAATCTTACTACAAAACATACTTAGAATACATATGTGCTCTTTTTAGTCATAAAAATTAATTTTAAAAAATATAATAGATATAAAAACAAAAATTTTATGATTAAATCACCCAAAATGGCTACTATAATTATATCATGTATTTTATTTTTCTCTGCAAAATAAAGTACTTATTATTTTTATAGGAATATGATTGTACCATGAGAACTATTTAATAACCAGCTATTTTGATAATTCTCCAAAGAGTCCCTCGTTCTCTCAAAGAGACAAATTCCCAGAACAGCCTACGAGGCCCTGCTGTGCCGTCTCTGAACCTCTCAGGCCTGGTCTCCGACTGCTCTCCCCTGTGTCTCCCCAGCCTCCCTGGCTTCCTTGCTCTTCCATGAACATGCCAGGCACAAGCCCACCTCAAAGCCTATGTACTGCCTGTTCCCTCTTCCTGGAATGTTCTTCTCCCAGATATCCTCAGGGACCATCTCCCAACTCCTTTAATTCCTTGCTTAGAAGAGCCTCACCTGACCATCCATTTAATTTGTACTTCCAAATCCTCTCTACCCGTCTCTCTTTATATGGATTTATGTCTATTTTCCCACAGCATTTACCATCTATGTTACCATTACAAAACATACTATGTAAATGACTTTATTATGCTTATTTTTCATTGTCTGTCATTATGTATCCCTCCCCATTAGAATGTAAGCTCCACATAGAAAAAAATTTTTGTCTGAGTTTTAGTCACTGAAATATCCCCAGTGCCTAGAACAGGGCTTGACCTGGAGAAGTGCTCAATACACAATTGTCACAAACGCAAAGGAGGATTGTTGACAATATCAAATTCTATTCATTTCGGGTTCAATAAGAATGAAAGGGAGTGGATTCCTTTTGATTTGGTGAATCGAATGCCACAGCAGACCATTATGCTGAGGAGCAGTCAGAATACATGAGTTCAACTCCAGGCTCTGCCATTTTTCAGCCCTGTGGCTTCCCTTCAGTTTTCTCAACTGTAAAATGGGGTTAACATCAGTACCTACCTCAAAGTGTTATATGGACTAAATAAGTGAATTTATGAAAGTGCTTATACCAGTGAAATATAGTAAATGTCAGTGCGTGTGTGTAGCGGGATGGTGGGAAATGTGAGAGCCAGGGGGTTCAGACCCTTAGACCAGACAGAAGACACGTGATAACTCAGCAGAAAAAGAAGAACCTTCAGATACCGATGCCGGCAGCATTGACTAGCCACTGTAATCTCCATTTAAGTGTTGTATCATTTTTTAAGGTAATAAATAAGGGAAACATTCATCTTCTAACCTATTGGGTGAATTAATTTAATTTTAGCAAAAAGGAAGTACCAACTATTTTGCAAGAATTGTTCACAGACAACTTCCAACATGAACCTTAAGGTGTTAATTTTTACTAGCGAGTACAATGGAATTAATTATTTAACTCAATTTACAGAGAGAGCTGTGGTTCAAAGAGGCATGAGTCCTAGGAGACACTGAAATTGCAAGCACTTATCAGAAAACATCTTCAATAATAAAGTATACAGAAACAGATAACCTGCTTTATCTCATGTATAATATTAATATGCTCTTTATTCTCCAGGGAGTTTTTTGTTTGGCAATATATTAAGTTTTATTTTCAGGCTCTTTGTCCCATGTCAATATATTTCTTTTCTAGTAAAATCTATCTGAATTAGTCTCGCCATCCAGCTGTAGCAGGTGGTATTTCTCTTTCATAATAAAAGAAAGGACTAGCATTCTAAGAATATAAATGAGTACATCAAAATTGGATGTCATTTAGAATAAGGGTAAGAAGTCTCCTATTTTCTGAATAGATCACTGGGTTGCCAAAATAGTCCCCAAAACATCACCCTGCAAGGTTATATTTTAAAACTCAAAATGTGGGTGATGGCAGGTTTTCAGCCCCAAAATTATCCTCTGCTTCCCTTCTTCATAGGCCAGACCCTTTTCAAGGCACCTTGTCATTTAAAGATCGATTGAGGTGCATGTTAGGAGAACTCAAAGAAAATCACAAAAAATGGTTACAGGTAGGAAAATTTGACTTACACAAAGGCTAAGAGAGTCAGGGTTATTTCAAATGTAGAGAAACAATATGTAGGGTATTTTCAATGAAACCATACTAAGAGTGCTTCAACCCTGGAATTCTGAAGATGCTTGATTGAATGAATGCCTGGTATTCTGTTTGAAAATTATTTTGCCTTGGACCTAACATGGACAAGATATGTTTTTCACACTTATCATTGTACCCAATGTAACTGACATATCAATTATACAACATAACATTAAAAGAGAAAATTGGAAGTTAAATACAGGATATTAGACTTTGAAACAATAAACTAGTGGTAAGAAACGTCAAACAAAAATGCTTTTCAAGACTTTCTTAATTAATCATTAGAAATGACTGAAGTTTTATTTCTCTTTAGCCTCGTTTTAGTCACAGTTTAGGGAAAATTATCAGTGATATTCAAAGCAGTTGATAACGTTTGATACAATGTACCATGAAGCCCCAAGGAACCTCCCTGTTGATGATAACTTGGCACCCGAACAGCCAATACAGGAAAAATGCCATTGAGAGCATGATGAGTATTTTTAGAATCATCTAATGGCTGCATCTGACAAGTAATGGAAATCATTCGCTCAGAAAGCACTCACCATATCATTTACGCTTAGCTAAATGATGTGTATAATTTAATATGTACAAAAGAGGGATCAGACTCATATTACTCTGCAACCAACTCTATTTTCAATATAGGAAGCACCATGAAATATGAAAATTCACATTAGTTAACAATCTGAATGTAAAAATAATTCATTTAAGGTTCTGAAAGATAAACTACTATTATTCATCTTTAATTTCGATGAGCAAGTTATTGTGATCAAAGGAATGATGACATGTCAGTGTTATTAAGAAGGTTAAGACTTCTTATATAATAGAAGGTAATTTTTTATAGTGACTTTATAATAATCACAGCTTCCATGATGAAAATACAATCAGGCTGCATATCAGACAAAGGAATTAGGAGTCCCACTGATGGGAAGCTCGGCATGCCTAAAGCTCCACTGTGTTTTCCAGTAGGTTATCCCTGACATGCAGGGACTAAAAAAGAAATGTGTGCATTTCCTGTGATGATGTCTTGAAACCAAAATTCAGAAGGTAAATTAAGAGCCAAACCGAACTGCCTTGTCATTTTGGGCATCAGCTGGTTAAAGAGGAATGGTCATTTTTTTACACTCGTTTTCATGAGTGGAAAAAGGCTGTCTATATTGGTTAAAAACTAAAATCATTTTAAATGATCACTGCTCCGAATGAAAATTTATGTTTTAGTGATTCAAAGTTATGATAAGATTATATATCGGCATGGGGCTTCTCTGAAGCAAATCTTACTTTACAATTCTTTTTTTTTTAACAACTGAAATTTATTTTCTCACAGTTCAGGAGGCTGGACGTCTGCAACCAAGGTGCCAGCCAGTTTGCTTTCTCCAGAGGCCTCTCTCTTTGCCACCTTCTTGCTGAGTGCTCACATGGCCTTTCCCTCGTGTCTTTTCCATTTCTCATTGATACCAGACATGTTGGATTAGGGCACTGCAAATAAGACCTCATTTAACCTTAATTACCACTGTAAAGACCCTGACTCCAAAAAAGTAACACTGGAGGTTTTAACCTATGAATTTGGTT